CTAAGCCCCAAATTCAGATCTGTTTGAAGAAATTATAGCAACTGGGCAACCCTTCAAAATCCCGCTCAGCTGCAAAGACTGGGAACCTTTTACAGACTTTGGAGTAAATAGCATTTGGTGACATCCTTCCTGAAACCCTGCAAGGATTCACCACTGCCAGAGGATAGCCCAAGTCCTCTGATCCTTCCCTCTCATTTCCAGTCTATCCTGGGCCAGGTATCATGGAAATACAGGTAGCAGAAGTGCTTGGTCCACACTCCAGTTACATGGCTAGGGTAAAATCCAGACCTGCAGGTCAATTGGGCATGCTTGGAATCACAGTGAGACTCTCGGACAACAGTCCCCCCTGGAACTTCATGACCAAAGGCAGTAGAGGAAAGCTATTTGCTAGGTGACTATTCCTTGGGTGAGTGAGTGCGTCCACTCCTTCCACCAATGGGTGAGGGTAGCAAGAGAGACACTTTGTGAAAGGATGGTGATGCAAACAGGATCAACTGAGGAAGGCCCCATACTTGCATGATATGGGCAAGATCTTTTCGATTAAAGACCCCTTCACTGGGAACCAAAAAAACCTGGCACCACAGCCCCTTTTGGCACCCTGGGCACCCAGAAGGAACACTGCCTGTAGCCCTTGAAGATTACATTCGGTCAGAGACATGATAGTTCCACTTCCATTGGAACCTGCCATTGAGTTTCCTTTATTTCTAAATGCATGATACTACTGTTGTGTTGACCTCCTGCAGAATAACCAGTTAAGCCCAAATGCGAGGTGACAGCACACATAGTAATCACAGGTGGCGATCCATGCTGTAGCACAGGCAACGGAGGTGACAATGGTACGGAATAATGAACTTACCATACAGGATCAAGTGATTCGTTCTCACACCCATAACTAGAGGCTGCACTTCTGAGGAGAAGCACTTTGAATCGGCTCAAGTGCCACCTTCTGTATTGAAAAAAGGAAATTCTTTGGAACGTCCAGAGAATCCACGGTAGCATAGGGATGCAAGACATCACCGTTTCCAGGAGACGCCTGCACTGGAAGCTTGACAAACCTGACAGAGATACCACATTCTGAAGATTCTCCCTGCTGCTTGGCCTATTCTGAGAATAAAAGTACTTGCTTGAGCATTGAACTGGGCATTTGTATCGATGACTAGATGGGTCTGCTCCCACTGTTTTGACACCTCCTATGCAGCAAAAAACTTCTCAGGCTGGCCGGGTGAATACCCTTTTTGAACTAGTAGGTTATCTGGGCTCTGGGCCAACAGTAGAGTACCATCCAAGTAACGATGAATGCAAAGCACCCAGTTTCCTCAGAGGGGCTACACAGAGATTAGGACCTCTGTAAAGTTCATCTGTAAGGTAGAGAGTCATGAAGGAAGGTATGTGAACTGGAATTTTCCATCCCCCACCAAGACTCAGTTTCTTTATACTGAACACCAATTGAGTCTTAAGTCTTCTTTGTACAGACAGCGAACAGGATAAAAGGTCTGTTAGGGAGGACTTATAATTAATGCCCTTTGCAGTTGAATAATATTGATGTACTGAAAGAGGACATCCACCTGTTGAAAGGAAAATGTTACTCTGGTTGGGATGAAGAAAAATTCAATAGGAAGATGTCTGAACCACCAAAAGTAATCGAGTTTTGCCATAGAAGGCACCCTTCTCAAAAATGGGCTTCACCATCTGTGCGTCCAATCAGCCACCCTGGTACCACTACTCTAGCCTGGTGGAGGGGGGGTCCTCTCAACAAAACTCTTGTATGGGATGAAAGGAACAAAAAAGGACCATGGCTGTTTTTTCTTCAGAAAGGTGCCTTTGTACACTCTTCCATCTGCTCTTGAAGTTTCTCATTCTGGCAAAATGCACTTGAGTCCTGGAATGTAAATTGGGCCAAACTAGCCGAGAGAGCTCACCTGAGCCTCAACCTCCTTTGAAGAGGAAGGCCAGACTAACTACCGACAGCTCTTGAAATAGAGCTTAGCATAGGGATGTACAAGTAACTCTTTGTCATAACTAATAAAAAGTATATGACATTTCAAGAATGTGTGCTGCTCTATGAAACTTAATATTATATGGCAATCAGGAGCCAACTGCGAGTACCATCCATCTGCACAGCAACTGGGCACATCCAGGGCTGAGCAGAGATGAGTCTCTTGGAATAGTCCCGTCCAACTTCTGGTCACAGGAAAAAATGTGTATAATTTTGGCATGTACTACCACCCTTCCTGAGGACAGGAATGTTGACCAGGGAGAGGGCCTTATAGCCCTCCTTGCTACTGTGCTGCTTCCTGGGTAGGCAGTGGGTACACAGGCAGTTTCCCATGAATGACTGGGAAGAAGAATATCGGAACGCTTGCTTATGCTGGAGCGAGCAGGAGAGAAGCTTTGGTCCTGAGGAAACAGTAATGGTGAGTCCGACCTGCTCTGCACAGCAAAGTCTTGAGCCTTTTATCTGGCTGGTGGTGTGGTATCAGTGATTAATGCCAGCCATTACCAGTGTTTTGAAGCTGCCAGTGTATTTGCAGTAGTTGATGGTGACTAGTTGCTAAGGCCTCATCCACATGGGGGATGGTAAAAACAGGCAGATGAAGTTAGCATTGCTGTACATATGGCTGCAATGCCTTGGGTTGTTGCAAACATTTTCATACAGCATGTAGTGATTGGTATAGAGCTGCCTGTCAAACATGAGCATTAGAGCTTGTTTGCATGTACAGAAAACATAGCTGCTCTTCTGAAAAGTGAAGTAGTCGCTTTTCAGAGGGCATTTAACAGTTACTTTGGTATCATCCATGCCTTTTCAGTGGAGTGCAGTGCTGTAATGTTTGTGTTACTGCAATGCATGTTAAGTGCATTAGCATGTGGTAGTGCCATTATTTTCAACCGAGAAGCAGCGTTTTCCTACTGGGTAGGGTATAATTTTGCTGCTGCTTACTAATGAAAAACAACTTCTTCATCGGCGAGGCTATTTCATGAAAACATTAAGTATATTCTGACTTCAAAGGCAGTCACCTGGGTCATCCCATTCTGGGCTTCTTAACTGCCCTAATGAATGACTGGACCCGAGAGACACTTGAACCCTGCTTAGCCTTTTCAAGGAGGATGATCGACCTTCTTCTACCTCTAGTAAAGTCAGGTGCAAGGCAAGGGTGCATGACTTGGATAAAGGTGCCCTCAGAGCCAGGAACAAAAAAGATGGCTGTGATGGGCTCGGGGCCTTCTTGGTTAAGAGGGCTATCTGTGGTGCCCTGTATTCCTCTGCAGGGCTGCGTCCATGACATTGTGCCTGGAGTCCACTGGCATAAGTGGCTGGAGAACTCAGAAGATCATTAACTATTTGTCCATGAAGGAACTTGACTTGCTGGCTCCCAGCATCCTTTGCCTTTAGAGAGGTCTCAGTGGCAATATCCACAGACATGTCTGGTAATAGATCTGAGCCACAGGCTCAGCACTTCTTACCCTTTTGCCACAGTTAGAGGTTAAGGAAGCAGGAATGCCGACACCCACTGGGAATTTTATGTGCATCCTGGGTGAGACCTGCGTGGCTGGATGAGCCGCTATCCAAACCGACCTTAAGCAAGAGCGTGACCTTATGCAAGAGCAAGAGTGGGCTAGGCTGTACCAGAAGATGAAGGCCACACTCATGGAAAAAAGGCACTCTTTTTCCTCTTCTTACTTACCAAACTGATGGTCCCTACCTGAGCACATGGAGGGCTTGGTTATGTGGCAGAAGGCTCATGTTTGGAGCAAGGATGTCAAGCACTGTGCAGAAAGTAAAATGAAAGAGACTCAGAGAAAGAAGCAGACAGATCATACTGTAGACATGTATCTGAATTTATTTATTTTTATTTCAGGTACTTATATAGCACCGTCAGTTTACGCAGCACTTTTACATATATATTGTACATTCACATCAGTCCCTAACCCTCAAGGGGCATACAATCTAAGGTCCCTAACTCACATTCATACAGACACATACTAGGGCCAATTTAGACAGGGTCTAATTTACCTACCAGCGTGTCTTTGGAGTGTGGGAGGAAACTGGAGTACCCGAGGAAACCCACGCAGGCACAGGGAGAACATGCAAACTCCAGGCAAGTGGTGCCATGGTTGGGATTCAAACCAGCGACCCTAGTACTGCCAGGCAGAAGTGCTAACCATTTAGCCACTGTGCTGCCCACTCACTTTCCCCATTCACCTGCAGCAGAGGCTTCTTAGTTTCTGTTATAAAATTTTGCAAATAAGAACTTTTCCCCAAAATGTATACTGCTACATTTCTTTGGTAAATAAATAGCATACCATAATTTCCGGCGTATAAGACAACTTTTTTTACTTAAAAACATACCCCAACAATTGGGGGTCGTCTTATACGCCGGGTATAGAATGCTGGATGTGCGGTAATACTGTATGGTAGCTTCAGCTACATACAGTGTACCGCGCTGAGCCAATCACGGCGAGCGATGTATTCTATTAATGAATACAAAGCCTGCTCGGATTGGCTGAAGTTGTGACATCATCAGCCCGCCTCTCTGACACAGCCAGTCAGAGCAGGCTCTGTATTCATTAATAGAATACATCACTTGCCATGATTGGCTCATATGACGTCCTCCCATTCTCCGCGCATGCGCGGCGATGCGCTGTGTCCCTCGGACACAGCGATCACACCGATCACGGAAAGAGCTGAAGATGTCGGGTCGGTCCAATCACAGCTGATCACATGTAAACGGGGGGGAAATGCCGGTTATCGGCATTTCTCTCCTCTCGAGCTGTCACGTGACAGCTCGAGAGGAGAGCTGGTAATCGGCTTTCCACGGAGTGGACATGTACACTGATCATCAGGGCATGATGATCAGTGTGCCCTGATGATCAGTGTAGCCCCAGCAGTGCCAGCTGTCAGTGTCCATCAGTGCCACATGAATGCCACATATCGGTGTGCCCTACCAGTGCACATCAATGCCACATATCAGTGCCCATCTGAGCTGCCTTTCAGTGTGCCAGTCACCCATCAGTGTGCCAGTCAGTGCCACCTATCAGTGCTGCCAATCAGTGCCACCTATTTAGTGCCAGTCAGTGCTGCCTATCAGTGCCATGTATCAGTGCTGCCTTTCAGTGCCCATCAGTGATGCCTGTCAATGCCCATCAGTGCCGCCAATCAGTGCCACCTATTCAGTGCCCAGTCAGTGCCGCCTATCAGTGTGCATTAGTGTCGCCTATCATTTCCAGTCAGTGCCACCTATCAGTGCGCATCAGTGGCGCCTATCAGTGCCAGTCAGTGCCACCTAACAGTGCCTCCTCATCAGTGCCCACCTATCTCATATGAGTACAGTGTTGCATGAACCGCGCGCAATTGTCATTCAAAGTGTGACAGACAGCGCTGAAAGCTGCAAATTGGCCTGGGAGGGAAGTGGGTATAAGTGCCCTGTAGGCTAGGGGGTTAAATGGTGTTTCGCCCTCAGAAGGGGGGTAGTCTTATTTACGACAAGTTAGCCCAAAACCTATGATTATTTACTGGAAAATTAGGGGGTCGTCTTATACACCCAGTCGCCTTTATACGCCGGAAAATACGGTAGTTGGAATCTCTGTTTTATCTCACTAACTATGCTAGTTAATTACCATTGCTGTGTACACTTTTTTTTGTGTTTTCCCTCAGAGATTGTCTTACTTTAACATTCTGCTAAAACTGTGTGTATTAGTACTGCTTGGACGTTGAAAGAAGGAGGTACAACCCTTAAAAGCTTGTCCTGAAAAATTGTATGTTAGTGCAAAATAAAAAAATGTATCGCAGACAGTACTCAATTGTTTTTGTCCCAAGTCTGTGTAGAAATTATTAGAGTCTACAAGCTAATGGTCATTGAAAATTTATCACACCTGATGTTACTGACAGCCTATCTCATTTAATGAGGTCCTAACGTGCCAGGACTGTACAAATAACCCCCAAACTAACCCTTTTGACAGTCCAAGGTATTTAGGTAAGAGGCATGGTGCTTTATTTTAAGTAAATTTTTTCTCAAAAATTAAAAAATTAAGAAATTAAATAAAATTTGTTTTTTATTTTCACAAAAAAAATGTCATATTAACAAGTTTTGTTTCTCACACACAGAATAGGCATACTTGCAAAACTACAACCCCAAAACACATTCTGTTACTCCTGCTGAGTATGGTGATACCACATGTGTGAGACTTTTTTTTTTACACACTAAGCCACATAGAGAGGCACTTTTTGTTGTTTTAAAATATCTGTATTTTTTGTTAGAAAATTACTTGGAAACCCCCCCCCCCACCAAAAAAACTATTTTTCAGCAGAGACCCTAAGAGAATTAATTGGTAGATTTTGCAATTTTTTATGTTACACGTGAGTATTTGCGCAGTAGTTTTTTTTTAAGCAATTTTTTTGGGAAAAAGTACACTTTAATGAATTTTAATGCAAGCAAACACAATACAAGATAACCTGTTTTTTGGTAAGTATTAAAATATGATGATGCACTGAGTAAATAAATAACAAAACATGTCATGCTTTAAATGTGCATACTTGTGAAAATAGCGCCAAATTACTGAACGGTATTTAAATATCTCCATTAGACGGTACTTTATAAGCACTATTTAAAGGTTACCACCTTTAGAGTTACAGAGGAGGCCTGGTGATACAATTATTTATCTCTCGCTCTGATGTTTGTGGCAATACCCCACATGTGTGGTGCCCAGATCGCCGTTTACCTATGCGTATGGGACTACAACACATACGTTCGCCTTTGCACCACAAGCATAGGAGAGATGAGTTTCTGTAGTTTCTCTTTGGCTTACACTGATAGTTGTTTTTGTGCACTTTAACACTGTGACAGATGTTGATCATCCACCGGCAGACATGACAGATTTTGACGGTCCACTATGGACACCGACAGATATTGATATTGCAGTGTTACACTAACAGATATTGATGTTGCAATGGTGGGATACTTATTGCAGATGTTGATGGGACACTGGTAACACTGTGACAGAATGGTTTGTGTGCACTTTACACTGTGACAGATGTTGATGGGACACTGGTACAGATCTTAAAGTGCACTGTGGCCAGGGACAGATGGTTGCTTGATGCACTGGTGTGGAATGGCTGCAGTCTAGTGTGATCTGTGTGTAGCTGAAACATGTGAACAGTGAAAATCATCAGCTACACACAGATCGCTGATGGGCTCTGGAAGCTCAGGATGAGCTCAGGAAGAGAACCGAGGACACATCAGGCACATGGCCTCTGTTTTTACATTGTGTTAATGGCTGTGATTGGACACAGCCATCACGATGATCAGGTGGGTCCAATCAGAGAGCCCATATCTGATCTGTGATGTGCTGTGTCTGAGGGATACAAGCCATCATGGAAATCGTTGCGCACTACGCTTTTAATTAGCCCAGGTTCTGACAGGACATATTAGGCATGTCCAGTCCAGAATGGCGCTTGTCCCACCCTGCCATCTATGTATAGTGGCTGGGTGGGGAAATTGTTTAAGCAGCAAGTAGTCCGTGGGACACTTCAATTTCATTTTTGTTACCTTAAACTACGAGGGCCTGATTATAGTAGAAGAAAAAAGAAAAAAAGATAGAAAAACATTGGATAAAATAGCGGTCGAGAAAAAAGGTAAATTGGAGACTGACACTAAACAAAATTTGAAAACATTAGACAGTTTTGAAAAATAATGAATTTCAGAAAAGGATAAGAGAATTAAGCATACAGGTGGTGGAGACATTTTACATTTTGTTTCTGCCAGGTTGCGTGATAGTAAATGTGTCGATCTAACTCTCTACTAAATGATGGGGGAATTGCTGTGTTAACCTAACATGTTAACCTAACCTTATCCTAATCTGTTTGTGTGCGCTGACTGGGCTATGTAGTTTCTTCTACTGGCCGCATCTGGCACGATCTCCAGGCGAAGAAATATAAAAACTTGGAAAATCTACAAAAAAGTTTGAAATGCAGCCATCTCATCTAGGGACTGTCTAAAAAGCAATTATGTTTTTTTTTTTAGTATTTGATACTAAATTTTGCAAATAAAATATACTTTTCTTCTTAAATTTAGGCCACAAACAAAATCCATTGTGCTACATTTTTGTTGGTAGACATAATCCCCAAATCAGTGTGTATTATTTAGTCTAGAGTTGTGAAAGTATAGAGTCCACAGGACCACGGTATATATATTTGATATATTTGAAATGTTATTCAATCTCTGTTGCACGGACATACCTATATAATTTACTTTGGGGCCCTAAAATGCCACGGACAGTACAATACCCCCACCAAACGACCCCTTTTTGGAAAGTAGACAGTTGATGGTATTTAATGAGAGGCATGGGGAGTTTTTGATTTGTAGTTGATTCGCATTTTTTTGCGCAATTTTTTAAGTGGAAATGATGAAAGTAAAAAAAAATTTTTTATTTGTTTCCCACCTCAAAGTTGTCATTTAACAAGTTCTTTCTCTCACACGGCATGGCATTACTTGCAATACACCCAAAAACACAATTCTGGCTTACTCATCCTGTGTATGGCGATACCAACATGTGTAAAACTTTTTCACAGCCTAACACATTAGAAGGGCCCCACATACAATGAAAGCACCCTTAGGCGTTTCTAGGGGCAAAAATTACACATCTAATTTCTTTACTGTCTATCACAGTTTTTGGAGGTCCTGGAGCACCAGCCAGGAAGACAATTGGAAAATTACCCGCAAAATGACCCATTTCTCGAATAGAAAACACATCTCAAGGTATGTTTTAAGAGGCAATAGGGGGAGTCTCTGAAGGAGACTTAATTTTTTTGCCACATTGTTTTTGGGAAAATGTGAGAAAAGATAATGTAAAAGTTGTATTTGTTGTTTTTACGCCAAAAGTATTTCAATCTAGGATGATATTTTCTATTTAGCACAGCATTGGCCCATACTTAAAAATGATACACTCCAAAAACGCTAATGTTCCCTTAATCTCGCTGCTGTAATCATGGCGATACGCCAAATGTGTGAGGACTGTTTCACAGGTATGGCTCCACACATAGAAGGGGTTCCACCCATCTCAATTAGCATTCCTGAATTAGCGTTCTAAGGGCAAAAAATTACACAGATCTAATTTCTAGATTTACTCTATTGCCGCGTTTTGGAAGGTCCTGGAGCATCAGGGCAATGGCGAATTATTTATCCACATATTGACCCCATTTTGGAAGATACATAACACACCCAATGGTATGTTTTTAAGAGGCATGCAGAAGAGTACTTCTGTAATGACATTCATTTTTTGCCACACAGTTTTTGGGAATGAATGGCGAAAAAAGAAAGATCGAAAATTGTAGTTTTTTTTCTACTACAAAGTTGTACTATCTATGTAGTTATTTCTAATAATTCAACTGCAATAGAGGCTATACTTTAAAATTAACACCCTACACAAAGCACATTCTTCTCTAACTTCTTCCTGGATTAATTATGGTGATACCAAAATGTGTGAGACACTTTATTAGACTGTCTGGGCCATAGGATATTGGGGGTTCCTACCATCCATATTAAGGGGCGCAACCCCCTTTGTTTGGTCTTAAGAAGTGTCTGATAGGGCATATAGATAGCTACATCTAAGATGTGCTTAAACTTCATATTTGCTGTTTTGGATGGTCCTGGAGCATTCAGGACAATGGAAATTTATCACTTATAAAAAGACCCCATTTTGGAAAGACGCAAAACAACCCCTAGGTTTGTTTTAAAGTGTCATCTGTCACTTCTCATTATCGGTCCATACTTCAGATATTTCGAACAATGCCCTCCTCGAATTAGTAGACGGATACTTTTGGCCATTATTTTTGAAGCACTGATCAGGACCCAACTGGTATTGGATGAGTGATCAGGAATGGTGTTGTCAGTGAGGGGACAGATAAATGGCTGCACAGTTGGGTTAACACTAGTCTATGTTTGGGCAAAAAAAAATCAGAGATACAGTGAGGAGGCTGGCAATGTTGTTTGTAGACGTGTTGTGTGTTAAACTCTGTGCAAAGGTGTGAAAATTTACTCACAGTTTAGACTGTACTGGTTCTCTCCTGCCTCAAAGAGCGATAGGCAGTCAGTGAACAGGATCCACTGCGTATGTGGGCAGAGGATCAGGGGAACACTTGTATGAACAGTGCAGACGGTATAAGGTGTGTCTGGGCACACTCGATTTGGGGCCACTGTTGATGGTGATCAGGGTCAATGCTGGGCGCACTCTGCGGTGATCTGGGACCACAAACTGTGGGGCCACTTGTTTTTCTATGTAAATGTGGCTGTAGTCAGAGGAACACTGTGGCATTCGAGGGACACTGTTGGCG